TGGTTCAAATCCCGGTCCGGGGGCCTTTCTGGGTGGAACCTGCATGTTCTCTCTGTGCATGCATGGGTTTTTTCCAGGTGCTCCAGTTTCCTCCCACAGACCAAAAACATGCATGTTAGACTGTTTGGTAACTCTAAATTGTTCCTAGGTGTGAGTGAGAGAGTGAATGGTTGTTTGTCTTGTTTGTCTCTATGTGTCCCTGTGATGGACTTGTGACCTGTTCAGGGTGTCCCCCGCCTCTCACACAGTGACTGCTGGACATGTGCACCAGCGACCCCCGCAACCCAGAAAAGGAAGAAGCGGGTGAAGATAATGAATGGATGGATGGATGGATGGATGGATGGATGTCTAAGACTGTGGGTTTGTGTTTTTTTGCCAATCAATAAACATGTGGCAAAATATCTACTACTTTCACGCAGTCATAAGTACATTTTTATTTGCAGCACATCCAACATACTTTACAGCTTTTGTCCTCCTTTACTTACCCCTTTTCTTATTACAGTTGTGCTCTCTTTGATTCTCATTTAGTGTATAGAAAGAAAATTGGTATTTTCCCTCCATAACGTTCTCCAGTTTTATCTTCGCTCCATTGGCTCCGTCAAATTAAGAAAATAATTCAAAATCTTACTTCTAACCTACAAAGCCCTCAACAACCTAACTCCTTCTTATATTAGAGATCTTATTGTTACATATTTTCCTAACAAAGTACTTCGTTCTTAGACCGCAGGCTTACTCGTGGTTCCTAAAGTTTCCAAATGCAGAATGGGAGGAAGATCTTTCAGTTATCAGGCTCCTCTCTTGTGGAACCAACTTCCAGTTTCTGTCCATGAGGCTGACACATTGTTAGCCTTGTCGCGATAAACATTAAATCAATTAATCGCATGATAAATGAAAATTATCTACCTCATTTTCATTTATCGGCTTTATTGTTTCTTTGTGTCTCTCTTTTTCTACTGGACACTGGATGACAAAAGACTCAACTCCGGTGCTCTTCATTGGCCCCTCCCTTTCTCTTTTCTTTTTAATATCTGTTTTAATAGTCCAAAATCGTGTTTTTGGATCTTTAAAAGCAGCTAAGCTGAGAAGCTAGGCTATGAGCTAAGCTAACAGGCCGACCTCGAGGGAAAAAAACCTCCGTCTTGTCAAAGCTCCAAAATTCACGGTTGAAACCCGTGCCTTTGTCTAAAAAGTTGTTTTTCTCTGCAAAAAGAAGCTGAGAACTTGTTTACTGATTTTTTTTTTTTAATTAAAAGCTTTGTGTGACAAATGCTATGCTAAAGAGCTTGAACCACACCGAGCATCCGCCATTTTGGGAACCGAGAAACAGCAGATTCAGCCCATGTCACATCAAGGGGCCTCCCTCCCATTTTTCTTGAAATCACGCTGCTCGCTCCCTCACTATCCATCCTTCAGTTTGAACAGTCTTATTCTGCCATCCAGTGGTCAAAAAAGGTACTACACACAAAATTAACCAACATTTCTTTTTAAATTTGACATTTATTAATTATTGTCAAATTTCAAACAATATTATCGTTTATTGCAATAATTTCTGAGACAATTAATCATCCAGCAAAATTTGTAATCATGACAGCCCTACACATTGTGCAGCTTTAAGACTGGGCTTAAGACTTTCCTTTTTGATTATTCCTATACTTAGGGTTGGCTTGTTATGCTGCTATAGGCACAGACTACTGGAGGACAAATTGACCTAATTTCTTAAAATTAATTGTTAAAATTAAATAATTTTCATTTGATATTATTTCTATCTTAACATGGGATTCTCGACCTGCCATTGTGTATCTGTTCCTCATTCCTGTCCTCTCAAACCCAGCTGGTTGAAGCAGATGGGTGCTTGTCCTGAGCCTGGTTCTGCTAAAGGTTTCTTCCTCATGAGGGAGTTTTTCTTTTCCACTGTCGCCTTCATGCTTGCTCAAAATGAGAGTTATGTGATGGAGTTAAATTCAAAGCAGTCTGCTCCTCAGATAAATCATGTTATTAACTTAATTTTTAAGTATATGAATGTTTCTGTTCAGTGTCCTGAGATGACTCTAGTTGTGACTTGGTGCTATATAAATAAATTGAATTGAAATGAATTGACACTGTGGGGAAAAAATAAAAAATAAAATAAAATGTACAGAAACCAGCTTTTGGTGTTGTAATATGTGATTTCTAATATGTGAACTGCCAAACTGTTGTTTTAATGCCACCTGGAATAATAATTGGAGACCAACCCAACATTTGTTTGATATTGTCTCTCAGAAACAGCTGTTGGTACTTGAACTAGATTTAATAAGACCGTTTCTTTCCCTCACTGACGGGGACTTGTGGCTTGTTAAATGCAGAACCACTGAATCGTTTCTCTGAAATACATTATTGATGCTTTAGGGTTCCACGTTTCTTTGCTGACAATCTGGCAGATCTCAGATTCGTAAAATTTTGTGGAACTGGCTCACATTTAACAGATTTTGCAGTGCTGTGGAGGAGGTTTTAGGCCCGTAATAAAGACCAGACTTTTGTGTGTGTTTGAATCGTATCAGAACTGTTAACACTTGCTGCAAGGCTTGTGTCTACTTCAGAGAGCAGACTGCGGGCATTAAGCAGCCATGTCGCTGTTGTCTCTCTGTTTAACCTAAACTCTTGTCTGCCACATACGCCTGGAGGAGTCCCCTGTTTGGCTGAGTCGCACATGAACTGCACCATATTTAGTCATCTTAAGTCTCCAAACCTAAATCTGCCCCCCTCTTCCCCCATTTCTCCTCTGTTTCTTCCTCTTTCATTTTTTATGTCCTGTCTTCTATGTCACTTTCCCTCTTTCCATCCCAGTACAATTTATCCATCTTTTTCTTTCTCTCCCCCAAGAACGTTTGGTTTTTATCACTGTTGTGCCGCAAACTGTTTTATTCCCCGTTATGTCCCCTTTCTATCCATCATACTCTTATACAGAGCAGGAGTAATAAAAGTTAGACTTAAATGTTTATTTTCTCAGACAAACATGTGGGTGGTGGGAGCTGGGTCTGGATGCTGATGAGCTGCTCATTCTGTCCGTCATATCGACATGACCTACCCCTGTGAGGCTGACCAGATTTACCACAAGTTTTTACACAGTGTCTTGAACTAGCTTGTGCCCAAACTGGCTCATACTCAACATTGGATTGGAAATATTGTATATATTAAGTATGTAATATGTATATATTTATTTTATAATATATGGACTTGTGACCTGCCCATAATGTACACTGCTTGTTGCATGCTGAAGATAGACACCAGCCCCTGAGACCCAGAAAGGAGAAAGTGGGTAAAACGTTAATAGATGGAAAAATCAACGAGTAAAACAGACCAGCCACAACGATCAGAAACATTGGTTCCTGTGCAGATTGCTTACAAGTGTTTTTTGTTGTTGTTTTTTGTTTGTTTGTTTGTTTGGCTTCATGTTAAGATACAGGAATGTATCATGTCCACACAAGAGGAGGTATTAAATTTATATGTACTGTAGCTTCTAACCGGTTTCTCACGTACGAAGCAGCTTAACTTTCTTCCACACTGCCTTTCTTCTCACACTCTCTTCCTTTAACGCCCAATCTGTGTTTTGAGAATGGGCCAAATGGCTGGGCTTAAGTACTTGAGCATAGAAGAGGGATCCTTTTTACAAGGCCACTTGGTTCTTCTTTGAGGGCTTCTGGCTTTGGATCCCCCACACAAGAAAAGAACAAAACTTTTGTATTTTCCCCGTTTTTTCTTTTCTTTTGCTTTAAAGCTGTTCAGACCTCGAGTGAAATGGATACAGAGGCAGCCTTTTGTTGTATTAAGATGAAGAGGGATGCTGTAGTTGAAGCGGGAATGTTGGGTAAAGTGAAGGTGGGTGTGACTCATTGTAGTTTAACATTGCAAACTGGGGTTAGGATGCCTTCTGAACTCCTCTGCTAGTGAACTGGGGGTCTTCTAGCTTTGACATCCATTGACAAAAAAGTGGATTAGGGAAGGCAAAGCCTCTTTTTCTTTGCTCTAATACTTTTAAATCTTGCACCCCCTATATCTTTTTTGTGGGATCAAGTGGCCTCTCGCCTAGCTGTGAGAGCATAAATAATAGTCCAGGTACCTATCTAGGTCCAAAGACTTAGAAAAGCCTGAATGAAGAACTATAGTCCCAAGGTTCTTCATAAGCTCCATTGGCTAATTCTTCTGAAGTGGGGAATTTAGCTGCTATCAGTTTTGGTCCTTTTTTGGTTCAGTAAATGAGCATAAAGCTGCCGACTTTAGTGTCACTGCTGATCAACATTAGCACTAAAATATTTGATGCACCACAATGATTTCAAATCAAAGCACATATATACAACTGAGGTTTTGTTATACAATATGGCTTCCTTTATCAAGTCCAGTTCTTTCAGCAGAGGTTTGACCAGAGTCACAGGCAATTCACTGCTTTGAAGCATCACGGGGGATGATGGGGTGACTTCTGCTATGCTTTTCAAGCATGACCAGAAGGTGCAGGCAGTTTTGACCTGAATACAAGTACTGAATAGAGATGGCATTGAAATTCAAGATGCAGTCCCTTCCAATGACTAATGTCTCTCTTTAAATGGTCACTTCTTTTCCCTTGGGCCCCTCATCTAATCGTCTTATCCTTTGACAGGCTTTTAGTCAGAGGAAATGTTCATTATGAACTGTCCAGTACAAATAGATTCTATTTAATTTTCTTTATAAGGGCAGATGTAGCTTTGTTGATGCTGTTTTATGTGGTAGGTTTGTGTCACTTTCTATTTTACATCCTATTATGGTAAAAATATGTCTGTGACATTGACCTCTATGTTCTTTTCTCTCTCTTGCAGGATAGACTGGAGTGAAGGGTCACTAGGCACAGACACTTTCCTTCCACTAACTCACAGGAGAAATAGAAAAAGACATCTTTCCAGAGACGTGCACAAACTTTGGTCTTAATACAGTCTTGTGGGCACCCACAAAGAGCCATCTTTGCATAAGACTTACAATCCAGCACAGGCTCCTTTGAGCAGGATGAGAGAACCTTGGAGGTACCTGCTGGGCTTATTCCTCCTGGTAAACTGTGCCTCCACCCACAGTGCCACCAATCCCTTCGCAGGGCAACAGACTCCTCTAGACCCTTGTTATGATGATAACGGAGCAGCCCGTCGTTGTATCCCTGAATTTATCAATGCTGCTTTTGGTAAGGAGGTGACGGTATCTAGTGTCTGTGGTCGGCCTCCGTCCCGCTCCTGCAGTGTTGTAGAGCGTGGTGATGAGCGTCCTTCTGTACGCACATGCCAAATCTGTGATGCAGCTGACCCACGTCGTGCCCACCCTGCTTCCTACCTCACCGACTTGAACTCAGCCCATAACCTCACCTGTTGGCAGTCAGAGAATCTGAACACCTCTCCGCATAATGTGACTCTTACCCTATCACTGGGTAAAAAGTTTGAGATCACATATGTCAGCCTACAGTTCTGTTCACCACGTTCTGAGTCACTGGCCATATACAAGAGTATGGACTACGGCAAAACATGGATGCCCTATCAGTTTTACTCCTCACAGTGCCGACGTATGTACAACAGGCCCAACAAAGCAACTATCACCAAACAGAATGAGCAGGAGGCCCTTTGCACAGATGGCCACACTGACTTGTACCCACTTTCTGGAGGACTGATTGCTTTTAGTACTTTGGATGGACGTCCCTCTGGTAAAGACTTTGACAACAGCCCAGTTCTCCAAGACTGGGTCACCGTCACTGATATACGTGTGGTTTTAAGCCGTCCGCAACTCCCCAGGGAGCTTATACTTGGGTCTGGAGGCAACAATGGAGGGAGGGATGATGACCCAATGGCAGTAACCTCGTCATTGCCAACATATTTCTATGCAGTGGGAGACTTCCAGGTGGGTGGGAGGTGTAAATGCAATGGTCATGCGTCACGCTGTCTGAAAGACAAGGAGGGCAAACTGGTGTGTGACTGCAAACACAACACAGAAGGGCCTGAATGTGACCGTTGCAAGCCCTTTCACTATGACCGACCATGGCAGAGGGCCAATGCTCGCGAGGCCAACGAGTGTCTGCGTAAGTGTTTCCTTCTTTTTGTCCCTCATTGTTATTTTAATCATGCAGACAGCACCAGGCTTCCAGTGTTGCAGCCAAAAAAAGTTTTTTTGCATTTAACACTAAATGATCAACAAGTTCAACAATGATATTTTGATTGTAACTTATCATTCACTGTAATGGTTGTTTCAGAGATAAAAATGACTGAAAACTATGTCAAGATTTGTTGAAAATTATATGTTATGCACAATGAAATCTCTGTAAAAACAATGAAAACATTGATCCGATGCTAAACTTTGACAAGGGACTATAACTTGTTACACAGACACCACTGCAACGATCATTGATTAAAAAAAATAAAAGAATCTATCCGGTTTTACCAAGATGGAGAAGGATGACTGTGGCAACCTCTAAAAAGTGAACAGTCAAAAGAAGAAGAATCAGGTTTTACTTCTCTGTACATCTGTTTAGAGTAAAGAGAAAATAAGGAAATGTCCACAAACAAGACATATTTCTTAGTTGAACTTTTTCCACAACTTGTTGTTTTATGATAAGATTCCAGTCATATAAAAATAAACATTAAAAGACATGCTTAAACGCAAAGAGAAATGAGTTGGGTAAATTAGGTTTGACTGGGGGTAGTTGTTTTTGTTGGACTGGCAACCAATCCAGGGTATACCCTGCCCCTCAGCCATTGAGCTCTGAAGATAGGCTCCCTGTGACCCTGAGCAGGAGTATATATGTATGTATGTGGGTGTGTGTGTGTATGTACGTATGTATGTATACGCATGTATGTATACATACATGTATACATACATGTATACATGTATTTGCTTGTTTGTATTTTCACATTTACCTATGTATTTATGTACTGTATTTACGTATGAAGGTATGTTTGTATGTGAGTATGTGTGTGTGTGTGTGCGTGTGTGCGTATGTATGTATGCATGTATGTATATGTATGTATGTATACATGTATGTCTGTATACATGTATGTATACATGTATTTATGCATACATACATACGAACATACATACATACATACATACATACATACATACATGTATTTGCATGTATGTATTTACACATTTACATATGTATGTATGTATGTATGTATGTATGTATGTATGTATGTATGTA